CGAGGTTTCCTGCTTGCTGAAGACTATGTCGAAGCACAAACGGGCTAAAGACACCAAGGGATACAACATGAGTCTCCGCTTGCTTCAGCTCCCAGTGTGATCCAGCTCGCATGATCCAAGCCTTTCGGAGGCCTCTCCGGCGGGTCTGGCAGGTTCTCCCCATCGATGAGCTGCCGAGCAATCTTGCAAAGCCTTGGCTCAAACACCCGGAACTGCGCCATTTTCGGCTGGAGTCCCACAACGGCAACAGTTGCGTGTCTCCCCTTCGCTGTCTCAATTCTTGTTGCTGAACGTTTGCAAAGCACATTCCATGCAAGTCATCACACCACCTCTACTCTGCCGATTCAGAATGGTGCTTGAGAAGTATTACGACTTGGGCTTGTGAGCTCGTCTAACTCTGGGCCGAATATGGTTCACAGAGTCTTGGCGTTGCATGACAAGTAGCATGGAGGACGAATTGCTCGCCTGGTCCAGGTGCTTCCGCACACTGGTGAGGACCATATCTTCATCCATGAATCCTGGGGTAGCCCGAAACTTGCGCATATTGCGCAAGCTACTCATGGGGCCCGGACCCAAACCGCCTACATCTGCCTCAAATGCTCATGCTGATACGCAGAATCATGATAAGGATGATGAAATGGAAATGGCAACAGTGCTTGCGATACCATTTGCAATGATGGGAAGGGCAATGGAGGTGGTCATGGTAATGGCGATGGAAGCGGCAATGGTGAAGATAGTGATCATATATGCTGGTGACGGAGGTAATGCTGGTGATGCTGCTGGCAATGGTGAAAATGAAGGTAAAGACAACGGGCTGCTTAGAAATTGATGCACATGGTGGAGCTTGTGGTGGATATCGACACTATGAGTCGCGACAACGATAACGTTTACAGCATGATGGTGAACATTACACACATCATGATGGTGGTGGATGCTGATGATGCCCTTACATACCCCTTAGTATAGGAAATACTGTGAGTCTCAGCTTTGCCAGTCGTGCCTGTATAAGGGGTATGTCAGGGGTATGCAAGTGGGACAATTGAGGGTACATGTATGAGGGCCCATTAGATTTTGCCTAGAATCATGGTGGAGAGAGTGGTGATGTTGATGATATTGATTTAGCTGGCAATGGTGGTGAGGGTGATTGCGATGGTGCTGCTGATGAGTGTGATGCTAATGATGATGATGATGATGATGATGATGATGATGATGATGATGATGCTGATGAGGAGGAGGAGGAGGGAGGAAAATACTGCCGCCATGTCAGTGCAAGGATTTGTGGTAAAGCAGGTCATTGGATCCCCAGAATTCTGCCAAGTCTCGCTTTTCAATGATTTCCCTCATCTTCGAACACGCGTCCTCAGCGGCTTAGACGCACTGCCAGTGCCCTCAGGCTTTGGGTGTGGTAACCGTGCCCACCTCGATTAACAAAGCAACAAACTTGTGACAACCCTAGCCGTGCAAAAGTTGGCTTTAGGATTTGACATGCTTTGCCTGATGGTGGCCAATCTGGCCTCATCCAGCTTGTAGTCAGTCATGATCTTTTCCGCCTGGGCACATAACACTTGAACGATTCAGAACGAAGACATGGGCAATCTCGCCGACGCAAATGTGAACATCCCTCATCACGCCTAGCTGCGGGCCTGAAAACTCTCGCATTCGACGGATCCCGCCTTGGTAAGGTCCGGCAATTCATCCACCTCGCCCTCTAAGAGTTTGCCGACCTCAGCGGCTCGCTGGCTCGGCCAAGGCAAAAACCTGGGACCACCCCGCAAGTCCCACCTCGCAAAGAAAGAGTAGATGCTGCGCGCTATTGAAACAATAACCAAAGCAATCAACAAGTAGTTAGACCATTTGCAAGACAAGCTCTATAGACACGGGTGCTCCGCAGCCTTAGTTGACCAGCAGCAAATCAATCAAATTACAGATGGAACCACTGCCAGCAGTATAGAAATGCTTCAGTCAGAAACAAACATTGTTCGTGGTTATAAGCGCTGGAACTTTTTGGCGCGGCCTGCCCTTGCCTTGTTCGGCGCGTCTTGGACATGCAAAGCTTGGCGCCTCAGGCCCGTGCCAGCAAGGTGCACAAGGCGTTGGGCCGCTTGCAGAAGCGCAAATGGTACTCAATGCGCTCCAAATCTTTGGTGGCCCTGTCCTCTCACTCAAGTGACATGCATTGCCCAATGCAGAAGTGGCCCTCACACATTAGATGTGGCACAACGCGATGTTGGTTTGGAGGCCGTCCTGAGTAGATGTTTCGTCTAACCGAGTGGCGTTGCAAGTTGAACAGTTGTACTGGGGTAGCGGCCCAAGCACTGCTTCTCTAGTTCAGCAGTGAGAGAACCGAGTGAATCTAAGTCCAACATGAGCATAAAGAGCTGATTCTCCAGGTAAACAAAACAAATACATACAAATTCTACAGCTAGAATAGCGCAGGAAGTTCATCTATCTATCCAATCTATGAATTCGAATTGCCCTACGGCCCGTCATGGTTCACGGGGAACACCCCGGGGTCCTCCTCGCCGTTTCGCTTGCGCCAAACCTTCAGCTCAGTGAGGCGCGACGTCACAGGGTCGTCCAGCTTGAACTTGCGAGCCATACGCTCGACGTCCTTGTCCTTGGCTGGGATTGCCATGGCTATCCAAACAGCTGTCAACATAGCCAAAATGTCCATACTTTTGGTGATTTGCTGGAAGTTCCTCGGGTTGCAGCACCTGACCGTCTTGCAGAGCTGAATGATCGGGTGCAGCAATGACACAGCTGCAATGTGACATTCCATGACACATTTTCCCTATTCAAGTAGAAGTGGAGGAGAACAAGTAGCTAGTTGTACTTTGCCACAGAAGGCTTGAACATCCACAAGTGTGAGCAAATTCTGGAATCAGCAAATCAGCTACAGCTGAGACGTGTCGAGCGTGTGCGGCTACTATGTCTGAAGCTGAGTGGCCGGCTTGATCTTTCCCACAAACTGTCCGCATTCCATCTTGCCGATCTGCACTGTCAACAGCCCAGTGGGACTTCGGGCCTTCTCCAAGACCTCGTACAGCTTCTCAATGTCCTGCACCTTGGTCTCTTGCCGCTTCCTCATGGCCTCATTCAGCCGCACCACCCATCGCTCCTCGATGTTGAAGTAATCTCCCAGCTCTCTGATATCCGGGTCAACCTCTCCATCATCGCTGGTGAGAGCTGGCCGGATTTTACTTTTCTCTTCTGGCTCTCTGGCTCCCATTGGGCCCGAGCTGCCGCCACTCATGCCGCTGCTGCCTATGCCCCCCATGCTTCCCATGCCAGACATCATTGCCATGGGGTTCGTCTTGTCTCCTGAACCTCCTTGTGACATCATCTTCATCATGTTCATCATCATCATGGCCATCATGGGGTTGCCGCCACAGCCAGGGCAGCCCCCGCAGCCAGGACAGCCCCCGCAGCCAGGACAGCCTCCGCAGCCAGAACAGCCCCCGCAGCTGGGACAGCCGCCACAGCCAGGGCAGCCTCCACAGCCAGGACACCCTCCGCAGCCAGGGCAGCCTCCGGGGCAACAGCCACACCCAGGGCACCCAGGGCACCCAGAGCAGCCGCTAGAGCATCCGGACCCGCCGCCTGGCTTCCCACAGCCCGTGCCACAGCCACCGCAACCTTGCCCACAGCCTGGACCACCCGGGCAAGCACCGCAAGCACAGCCGCAAGGTCTACATGACGAGCAAGGCCCGAGGCCACATGGCGAGCATCCACAGCCACATCCACAGCCACATCCACAGCCACCACAGCCCCCACAGCCCCCACAGCCCCCACAGCCCCCACAGCCCCCACAGCCCCCACAGCCCCCACAGCCCCCACTGCCCCCACAGCCCCCACACCCGCAGCCGCCGCAACCACAACCGCAACCGCAACCGCAGCCGCCGCAGCCGCCACAACCGCCGCAGCCGCTGCAGCCACCGCAGCCGCTGCAGCCGCAGCCGCCGCAGCCACAGCCACAGCCACCGCAGCAACCACAGCCACAGCCACCACACCCACCGCAGCCACCGCAGCCACCAGAGCCACAGCCAAGTCCAGAACCGCAACCAGGACAGCTGCAACCAGCGCCAGGACTTCCCGCAGATGGGTCGGCCTTCCCAGCCTTCTCAACTCCCTCTGTGCTCATGGCGCAAAGGGAGACTCGGCTCCGTGCGGTCGGACCGACTGTTGCAAATCTGCCTGTGTTAATGCTGCTAATCATGCCTTGCGTTTGGCTTGCACGTGGGGAGGCTTGGGGTCAGTGCAGTGTTGCAAGCTACAGGTATGAAGCTCCAAACTTTCCGTCTTGGTCAAAGTTCCAATGAACCCCAATACATGCGGTAGATGGTCATGCGTGGGATTTTGCGCGTTAAGGCCAAAGAAAGACACTGCACCGCTCATGCTCGGCGCACCTCTCTGCCCCTCTCATTCATGGCCATCTGGGGCAGCTGAGCTGCAATGGCCGCGGAAGTCATTACCCCGTGAGGGGCGAAAGCAAGTGCCACTGAATCAGAAAAACTGTTGCTTCCTGTGACAGCATCTGGCGAGAACCTTGAACACCGAGGCTGGAAAGATGCGAAAAGAGCACACCAATTACAACACAGCGCCGGCCCATGTCCCCGGTATACGTGCTGCTGGCTAGCGAGCCGCACCTGCGGCAGGCTAAGAACCTGCTCATGGACCCAAACTTGCTGCGTCTGGATCAAAACTTCCCAAACTGGTGGCGCTGCCACCAGCCTCCACATCTGAGAACTCCAAAGTTGTTGAAGTTGAAATTCTCGGCATGGCTCGCAGCTGGCCAAACCAAAGATGGGGCCGTCAGCCCTCTAAGCATGCCAAACTGCTCTGCCTTAAAGGTGCTCAAGCTGCCGCGATCTTGGTGCTTTCCCCGTGGATCTGGCCCTTGCTGGCTGTCGATTCCTTCATGAGCCGGACAAGGCGAACAAGTTGGCTTCAGCTCATGCGAGCCCTGAATGGCATGTTACCCGGATAAGCTCTGAGTCACAGGGCAAAGTACAAGAATTCGGAAGGGATGAGCCAGGCAAGGAGCAAGACAAACCAAAGGTGCAGCTAAGCCCACGCAGTCGTCTCCTTTTGCCCACAGCAACAATCCACCACATCAAGAGAGCTGAATGGCAACCTCTCTTTCCTCCTGCCATGGGCCAAGAAGCGCAAATCAAGTGCTTCATCTCACCTCTCACCTGTCTCTGCAACGTTCAATGCTGATTCTTGCTGGGAGCCGTTTGGGCCCGCCTGAGCGTTCTGGCGAATGCGCATGGCACGGTAAGCCAAAGCCAGGCCCAGGAACAGCGCGGCAGCTGCCAAGAGCCACCACCTCAGGGCGTGGCTTGCGAATGACGCAAAGGCAACGACGTTAGAGTTCTGGTTGCGTGGTTGTTCATTGTTTCCCCAGCTGCAAGCCATGGGGTCTCTGCCCGGATAGGCGATACGGGGTGGGGCGGTGTTCAGGGAGGCTTCCGGAGCGTTCCAGCGGGTTCTGAGGCTGTTGGGGATACCAGCTGGGCTTATCTAAATCTATGCTAGGGTATGCCGTGAAAAGAGTGTGCACATTGATTGTCACACAAAAACAGCAACATTCAAAAACATATATGCTTGATCGTGAGGGCCAAAACCAAGGAAGAACAGGGGAGGTGAGGGAAGGGCAAGGCATATGGTCTCTCTCGCTCTTTCTCTCTCTCTCTCTCTCTCGCGAAGGTAGAGAAATTGGTTTTTACATGTCTTCACCCAATCTGTGCCTTGTTCTTTCTCCCCATGCGACAGTGTGAAAACATGCGACAGATTGCGACAGTGTCCAAAGAGTATCGTTCGCGCCAAGTTGCGGAGGAAAAGGAATCCAGCTCTACGGGAAACCGCCTGATGAGCTTCCTAACCGCCCGGCGCTATGAATCTTGGCCAAGGCACGGCCAGGAACTTCGGGATGGGGATGGAGCTGGGCCTAGCGTAGCGGGCATCTCAATTCATTGGCTGCCACTATTGCCAATGAGCAAATGCTTTTTTTTGGAGTACTATTCCCTGTACATGTCATGAAATCTGCAAATAAGCAATCAGTTAAACAGCTAGAATCAATATCTGCAAGACGCAAAAGCTTCGATACTTAATCTTTGTGTTGTTGTGTAAAAAAACTGTAGCGTAAATGCCTTCAGGAGATATAATAGTAACCCTTAGAAAAATAGAACGCACCCAACACCTTCAAACAAATAGAATGGAAATAGCATCTAGCTGAGCCAACAAAAATGCATTGGAATTAGGCAATAAACAAAAAACATATTCCCCTCTATTCTAAGTGAGGCTTGGTCGCAACCTGTTGCCAGGGGCCATCAGTTCCAGCCCCTGGACTTGAAACGGCACGCCATTTCTGCTGCTTAGGGCAACCGTCGGCGACCTTTTTCTTGAAATTGTGCGCATGACTGGTACATGCCGTTGAAAAAGCACTAGATCCGGCTTCCCTTTCACGCCTCAATCGTCCACATAGACATCATGCTTCATCGTGTGTTCTTTCCAGCGATGGCTGGACCCATTTCATTGGAACCCCAAACTGTCAGTGCATACGTGAGTCATGGCGTGCAAGCTAGTTAAGTGTATTATCTATCGACACCTTTCGGCGAACCTCTAAACCTGTATGGACATCTTACTCCGGAAATGCTCAGCACGAGATGAGTGCAGCGCTGTGGAACAGTGCACATGGGCATCGTCGGATGCGTCTTTACCCCTTAGGCCTTGGTCTCATGCTTCATTCTCACCAGGCAGCAAACCTCATAAGGCTGGCCACGGTCTGCAGATCTGGCACCCATCCTGCCTGGTGGCCCACTAGTTGGCACCACTGTCACTGGCTCCGGGGACGTTGACTTTGGCGGCCCCAGCTTGGCCAAGCAGTCTGGCCGTGCCTGTGGCTAAAAACAGTGAGCGCCCACGGTGAATGAGATATATATATATATATATGTATAAATATAAATATAGAAAAATACGTATTACTATTGTTCACAAAGAAGCATGTTGTGTTATGAACCTTGCATCCGCGCTGCTGGCAAGGGCGTAATCAGCGCCGCCCCGCCAAAGTCGCACATGTCTTCAGCTTTGCCCTCCTCCTCGACATGGGGGGTGTCATAACATCAGGGGATTCTGACCAGAAACGGCTTTGACAGGTGGGTCGTTACCTGGGCCTTCGGGAGGCGGTGCTTGTGGAGGGTCGTTGTTCGAGGGGATTGTCGCTTGGAAGGGGGGGTCTGAAAGGGGTTCTGGTTTGGGTGCTGAGGGGGTCTCAAAGTCTAAGCATTGCTTCAACTTGCACAAGTCCGAACAACTGCCTTTGACAACACTTACCCTCGCTGTCAACTGAGGCAACTCAGGCCTTCTTCAGAGAGAAGTACATGGAGAATGCCCAGTCTGCTACGGTGTACTTGTCATCCGCACCTTGATGGCCAATGTCGCTCACCGACTCATCAAAGGGAAGCAATACCAAAACAGCAAACAAAATGACTCAGCTCCTCGGGAAAAGGACAAGGGAACTTCATACACGAAACGTCTTTTGCCAGGGGCTACAAATAGGGTCTTGAATACCAAAAACCTTCACCAACCCTGCCCTTCGCCAAAATGTGACCAAGCTTTCTCCAAGCTGACTTTATTAATTACTATGTGTCTTCAACTGCTTCAAAACAGAACGGAACAGGAACCAGTCCGCGCCCCAAACTGCAAATGCTCCATCTAAGCTTTCCGGAAACGAACATACTAAACCAACACAAAACAAATTCTATACCAATACTAAACCAACACTCAACAAAATCTATGCCAATACTAAACCAACACTAAACAAATTATATGCCAATACTAAACCAACACTAAACAAATTCTATGCCAAAACTAAACCAACACTAAACAAATTCTATGCCAATACTAAACCAACACTAAACAAATTCTATGCCAACACTAAACCAACACTAAACAAATTCTATGCCAATACTAAACCAACACTAAACAAACTATATGCCAATATTGCCAATACTAAACCAACACTAAACAAATTCTATGCCGATACTAAACCAACACTAAGCAATTTCTATGCCAATACTAAACGAACACTAAACAAATTATGTGCCAATACTAAACCAACACAAAACAAAGTCTATGCCAATATTAAACCAACACTAAACAAATTACACGCCAATACTAAACCAACACTAAACAAACTCTATGCCAATACTAAGCCAGCACTAAGGAATATAAAACCAATACTAACCGATACTCACAAGTTTTTACTTAGAGACTACTCGGGGGGACCCTGATCCCCAAATGGTTTTTCAGCGGTTTGCTCTCCGCCCAGCGCCATGGCAGTCTTTCCCATCGAGGGGCAATGGCTTGGTCGATTCTCCGTGCAGTCCCGGCCCATGCCGTGTAGCGCCCCGCAAACCTGCTTCACACCCTGGCCCAAGGGGTCGTGGTCGCCTGGTGATCTTTCCGAAGTCGACTCGAAATCCGATCCATACAAACTCAAACACTTGCAGCGAACCACTGCGCGCATGTGTTTCTGAAGCGCCTGACACTGCTAGGTCCGAACACGCAGACTAGATCAAATTAGGCTATATGCAGCCTTGCTTATCCGATGGCTCGCCCTATTTGCTTCGACATGATGAACCATTTCGAATAAGCGTCCGGGGGCATCAAGGCAACGAAAGCAAAGCATGATGCACACAGAAACACACGCACAGGATGATATCATACATCTGCATGGTCAAACGACCGCACGAGACACACACACACACACGGGTCACAAAACACACTGCAATGCATGATTGCATGAATGATGGATACAAAACTCGCCAAAACAAACAAGGGATTGCCAAAGCTTGGGGCCCACGTCGTAAAGTGTCACACATGCACATCACAACGGCTCAAGCGGGGCTACCAACAGCCTTGGCTTTCTCCAGAACTCCCCAGAACGGAAGCAAATCACTTGGCTATCCTGACTGTAGAAACCACAGGATGTGGCAACGATGTGGAACGTGCTTGCACCTGCTTGTGTGTGTGTGTGCGTGCCCACGTGTGCTAACAGATTGTCGACCTCTTGTTGCACCCGTGAAATTCCCATTCGCATGCTCCTCTAGGCCTTTCAACAGTGCCTTTCGGGACCCTTGAACATCTCAATGGAGAAGCCCCAAGATCTCAAAGGAAGTTTCCTCTTGGTTTCCCTTCAAAACCATCCAGAAAGGGTACCCTCAAAAAAAGCCACACCCCTTTCCGCGAAGCCCCATCCCAATGCGCCTCGTGCAGCTACACAATACTTTGCCTTGCAAACGAAACGAGGTGATAGATTTGTCGTTTTCAAGGGTGCCCTCTTTGGGGGTGATTCAACAGCGAAGCCCAAGGCAAACTACACTTTTCTGAGGGGTTCCCACATTTTGAGAAAATTAAGGTTGGGCTTTCACCGCAACCTGGCACACGTCCCTCCATGTTGGTCGGAGCATCACAAGAACTATCGCCTGGTTGCACCTCAAGCGAGGCGCGCCCTTTGCGGTGAAGCTCGACTTGCCGGACAACTGCACTCCCAAATCACCTACAACATCCTACAACCCGGCCCCAAAACGCGACTGACAAACCCTCCTTCCCCATCCTGGGCTGTTCAACTGGAGTGTTTGCCAATCCGATTTCCCTTGATCTTCTTGGCAAACCACTGCGTAGTGGACATGAGGATCTTGCAGATTGAAACGCGACCAAACGAACCTAGACCAGGCCAAGGCGCTGGCTGAGCCTCCCAACCTTTCTCACAAATGGAGGTGTTAGGAGCTTGGCCCCCATATGCCGCAGCGATGGCCTGAGGAAAGCACCACGTAGCCGCGGACAGGGCAAAACGTTGATCAAATTCGGCATTGTAAAGGCTGCCTAGTTGAAAGACCAACATGGGGCCATTCAAATGCTGCCGAATTGAACATTGCCCAGAATGGGGCATGTCAAAGGTTGCCTACTTGGACCAAAATTGGGCATTTGCAAAGGCTGCCTAAGTGCATGCCCGCCTAATTGAACATTGCCAAAAATGGGGCATGGCAAAGGCTGCCCAGTCGAACATGGACCAACATGTGACATTTCAAAGACTGCCTGATTGAACATTGACTAACATTGTGCATTGCAATGGAACTTAGTCGCAACAATTGGGCATGTCAAAACGGGGAGGCTGCATCTCAAAGGCTTCCGCATTGAACATTGACCAACATGTGCACAACCTGGTCAGAATGCAATTCTCCCAGTGGTCTAAGCCATTTGGCAGGAATGAGTTCAGTCAGGAAGCAACTCAGCGTCAAACTGTCCACCGCAAGAGAACCACAGTCCTCCTTGATACCCCAACAACGACCTGTTTTTCTTTTGCTCTACGTTCAGATGCTGTGGTTTTGAATCAATGTTTGCTGAGCCCCATTGAGCAGAAATGCATCGTGTTTCCGAGTTTGCTGCATTTGCACGGCAGTCCAAAACAGCCGCCAAAAACCTATAAGTTTAACTTGTTCAAGCACAAGGCAATCAAAAACGAGCTCATGATTGGAGGCCGATGGAAAAGTAATGAGCCTGCCTGCGGCTTTCCCTTGAAGATGGGCTTGAGACAAGGAATGCTGTAGACGTTCTGGCTGTAGTAGTCGATGCCCCCGGTTTTGCTCACCTCGGGCCGCATGCAACCCCGGGGAACACGCAAGGGTCACAAGGCATGCACATCCATGTGCTCAATCGATTAAGGAAGCCCGTGCGTGGCCACCAGCATGGCAGTCCATTGCACGTCTCTGCACGCCACTTGTGCTCACTGCCAGGATGCCGCAATGTCCCCAAGAGCGAAGGTGCCAAAGAGCCTCGCAAACAGGCCAGATTGTTGCCGTTGCACGCCACATGATCTGCGCAACACCCTCCACCCCGCCTGGCACAGGACAATCCCAACGCGAACAGACCCAGAAGCCAGCTCAGTTTTGGCGCGTTCAACTGATCATTGCAAGTCATGTCTTGTACGTATCCAGCGCAAGCGTTGGTTGGTTTGCGTGGAACAAGCTTCATGCATGGTCAATAAATCCCCGCATCAATGCGCAGCCCAAAGAGTCAACTACATGAACAACTTGACAAAGACAGACTCGCTGAGGCCTAGGCAGTACATTACTCACGTGGCACAAGCCTTTTTCTCCTTCATGCGGCTGTGCATAACAAAGCGAACCACGCCAAACACACAGGAAGACAGGGCATGCGCCTCATTCAGGCCTTTGAGCCACGGAAGACTGGATCGCTGCACGCCCAAAGCTGATCTGGTGACTGCCCGAACACCTACAAGAGGCGTACAAAAACCCGGTGTTCACGCTCTTATCCTACACTCAAATTCAAATGCTTTGAATTCCAGGCGGCGGTCCTCTTACAAGTTGCGTGCTCCAGTTGGGGCCTCAAGATTGGAACCTCACAAGTGGCCGCTGTGTAAGCGTGCGCGGTTGGGAGCTCATGTGCGTGCAGCGTGGGCAAGCCAGCGGAGGCAAGGAAAGGAACACAGGCAAGAGCAGCAGCTGGCAGGATAGCAGCAGATACGGCTATAAAACACTGGCAAGACAGGCCGGGTGTTTACCAGTCATGAAACCACCTCGGCCTGGCGCTTCTGCTTGCGAAACACTTGCGAAGAACTCGCGCGAAATCTGACGGGGCAAAACGGCAAAACACGTGCCCCCAACAACAACCCCCCACATATTTCAAAGGTACTGATGCTGGCACTGATGCTTCGAGCCACCAAACTGTTCGGGACGCAAATCCGGCTCGAGGGAATCTTGTGAACACTGCAGTTTTGACTTGCGCGGCTGCATGCTTGTTCAAACTTGACATGCCGAATTCCAAGCAGCGGCCTACTTACCCGAAGATTAACCGAAACCCAAGGACCCCCGAATACATAGCAAGTATGCCCCGTTTGCTTTTTTTACTCACAAGAGAAACACAACACGAATTGAAGCGAAATAACTCCAGCGCGCTGGCTTCGGAGCTCCTTGCGCGCTGCAGGTTCGTTTTCAAAAGCTTGTCCTTCTAGGAACCGGATGGAACCGGCTTGTTGGGTCCGGTGCGTCTGCACTCCAAGCCATGTTAATAAATCAAATGAAGCGGGCCTGGCATCTGAAGGCGTTGCTAGCGCTGCGATGTGCTGCGTATGCACGGATTCTGGAGCCTACGGCATGCCCCAGGTGTGTGTGTGTGTGTACGTTTGTATGCAGTGGTTGGCCCTTTGAGGATCAATGTTAGCCATTACATGCAAAGCCGGATCTCGTCAACAGCTCGAACGTTTCCAAGCTTGAAGCAGCCCGTACGTCTGTGGTACAAATGTGGCTACCAAGCAGGAGCACCGCGCCACTGCCGGGGTCAACGTCGGCACGGACTTATGGGTCCGGGGCCCCGGTTTCGGGCCCGGCCTCTCGCTGCAGCTGGCCGGCGGCGGGGCCTCCTTGGGCCGGTCCCAGTAGGTGGCCTCCCAGTTGTCCCAGCCGGCCGGGTTGTCACAGGGCTTCCTGCAGCTTCCAACGGGAGTGGCCAAGTGATGCCAAGTGCCTGGCACCCCAAACCAAATTCGCGATGAAACCACCTTACAAAATAGCAACCCCTTTTGACTCGAGAAGGTAAGTCATCTGAAAGGCGCTCAAACGGGCAAGTCATGCAAGGCCGAAAGATGACCTCCCCTAACATGGAACCCTACAAATGCTTTTGCCGCCGCATCTGCCGTGAGGATATCCGCAGGACCAATCATGCCCAGGTTCAAGCAGGACATCGGGGAATGCAAAAGCCAAGCCACACAACAAAGATTGAGACATTGGCCTGGGATGATACCTCGAAACTACTATATAATCAATTAATATTTACTAATTGTCGAAAGAAGCGTCCAATAGGCCACCTGGAACTGGAAGAAGTTGAAGCCGACCTCACTCGGTGCTCACTTTCGACAACTGAATAATTTAGCGCATAGAGACATTGAATGCAACCGGTCTTCCCCTGTACCGTTGAACAGCGAAGGCATATCATGATATTGTCAGCCTGCTTGCATTCGTGAGGGGCCTGATGCTGGCAGCCGAGTGACGCACTGCGAGTGAAAGCTTTGATGTGAAGCTAATACCAAGGATTGCAGTTTCTTGCACGCGGCTTTGCAGGATTGTTTCTCAAGTGTCCTTTCACAATTGTTGCCTTTGCAGGATTTGTTTCACGGCAAGGTCTGCTCTAGCATCTTTCGCTATGTTTTCGGCAGGGCACATGTTCTTGTTTCGTTCCTCTCGTACTCTGTCAGGTTCTTGTTGCGGCACATGCACTTTTCCATGGTGTTTTGAGGTCCGCAAATGCCCAGCTGCTACACACAAATCAAACGAAAGTAAGGGGCCCCTAAGAAAGGAACCTTCATGGGTGACGTCGCAACCCCAACCAGTAACATCGCCATAATTCATCTCCCACTTGTGTACTAACATGGTTCCAGAGGTTTGTATATCCTTTGCTAGACTGCTAAATAACCACGAGCAAACAAATGGCTCTGTTCGGGGTTTGGTCGCCATGGAAGCCAGCAAGCAATAGCAAAGGGCCGCTGCTGACTCAGTTGGGCCTGTCAACCTCCAAAAGATAGTTTCCTTCCGGTTTCCTTTTGGTTTCCTTTTGAAACCAAGCAAAAGGGAGATCCAACCTCCAACCAACAAACGGCACGCCAATTTTCCGGGCTGCGAAGGGGTTGCTCTGATCCTTGACCAGCGCCTGGGCTTTCTGGAGGTCCCGCTGCAGGGCTGCCGGGTCCTTGGCCAGGTGCGGATCCCCGTACTCGCCCATAAAGACCTGGCAGGGTTCGGACGGCCGGGGCCAAGGACAACATCCACCTGAGTTCGTTTGCTTCATGGCAGTAGGCAGCTTCATCCAGTACTGTTGAATATTGTCCGAGCACACCAAAAACTCTTGATGAGAAACACCAAGTTAGTCCAAGCCCGGATCAGGCCACCATCACAAAAGAAAAAAAGGGATAAACAAACTCCGCGAACATCTCACTACTTCTTGGCATTTGCCCTTCTGACATTTGCGACACGATGCAAACACCGCTAGCCTTCATCATGTCAGCAGCAGCTTTGTTGGCGTTGAATGATAGCTTCATGTACTTTTGAACGAACCTCAGTTGCGTGTGCACGCGCATGGTACATCGGCCATCCTTTCAGGGGAAGCGCAACTGCATGCCAAGAAAACCGAGAAACTGCTGGTTCAAAGCATCAGCTCCCACAAAGCCATTGAAGGAGTGGATCCAGCGATTTGTGAAGGCAGCCTTCCAGCCTTCAGTCCGGAAGGTGTAGCCTTAGCTGGTCATAAGGCCATGCCAAGCTTGCCCTTGATTTCAGTCAGGGACTTAAAGTCACTATCGTCTTGCCCGGGCCACCCTGGGTTTTAAAGACTCGTCTGCGTTTTTTTCGAGTTGGCCATGTAACCTTGTTCTTTCTGGAGTCGTCCGGTAATCTTCATATAATCTTCTGGTTTCTTCTCATCGATCTTAATTTATAAGAGGCAATACTCACATGACATGTTTTTTCGTGCAATAGGGCTTTGTTTAGACTTCGGCTGGCCTTCGTTTCAAAACCTGCTCGCGCCCTACAAAAGCCGCCAAGTGCAATGAGAATGCTTCGTGGTTAAGACTCGCCTTCTTTTGCTTGGGGGGGGTGTCGTTTACCCTAGTCCATGTAGCCCTTGCAAGGCTTGTCCAGCTTTGCTAGTGCTCAGGCTTCGCAAAAAATACCTGCAGCCTGGCTCAGCCTGCGTCTACTTGAGGCGTTTAAGCTGTTTTTTTAGCAAAAGTCTGAGCTGAAACCAGGCAGAACGGCCTGGGATCAGCTGAGTGCAATGGATCTGCGCATGTCCGCTTGCTTGCCTCTAGCAAAGGCTCATTGAATGCTGCAAACTTTGACCGGCGCAGCAGGAACTCAAGCAACGACGAGCTTCACCTAGGCACCTTGGATGATAATAGAATTGCCCCACTCACAGTAGAAACAAGCTGAGCCGGCGGCCTACGGAGCTTGGGTCTTCCATGGCCATGTGCAAGTCCATGATCATGGGAAGTCCTGATTTTGCTTGATGTTGCTTGCATGGCTCTTCTGCATGCAAAATCCACGCATCAGGCTGATCCTCTTGAGACTCTTGATGCCATTCGACCCCCTCACCTCGCATGCAGGTCCCTAACATCACGACGAACCGGCGCTACTGCAAATCCGCAGTGCGTAGTGTTCTCGTGAAGCTGCACAGTTGCCCCTCCAAGCTGTTGAAAGAAATCAGTCCTGCCAAAGTGCACCCCTTTTCCAGTCAAATCATCCAAGTTGCACAAAGTGCAAATGTTTGACGGATTTCACTCAGGGCAAGGGCTCTGAGACACAGCTTGTGGCTGAGCCTTCTGAGAATTGAATTGAAGCCTTAGCCAAGGAGTCAAAAGCCTATGTCTCCTCTCCTGGACAGTCATCTTGAAACCGCGGCTTGCGCACTCTGGGGCACTTCATTCCGCCTGCCTGGCCATGGCTGGGAAGGGGCAAATAATGTTCTGCCATGGCCCCTGTCATGGGTTCAAGCATCAAGCACTTCATCAGCTGATGTTGGGAAGGTGTGTGGGCTCCAAGAAGCTTTGCTTTTTTTTTTTTCTCCGGGCGGGGACACTGTCAGGGACACTGCAAGTTTTGGCAGCTGTCCTTGGGCAAGTCATGATGGGTACATGATGGGTAACTGAGCTTTCCAACAGTAGCTATTTGAGAAAGAGAAAGAGAAAAAGAGAGAGAGAGAGAGGGAGACAAAAAGAGGGAGAGAGAGAGAGAGGGAGAGGCAGAGAGAGAAAGAGAGAGAGAGAGAGAGGGACGGAGGGATTTAGTTGGGGCACTTCAGATGTGTCCAATGCTTGGGCACGCTGTGTTGTTGTGATGTGCTTGTTGTTGCGCGTGCGCTCCTTCCGCTGCTTTGTGCACAAAGCTGGGATCCACATGCTTCTTGATTGGCGTACCCGGAGCTTCATACGTGCTCTAGCTGCGTGAAAGCGTCATCCTCAAAAGTTACCCTTCAAATGGTGGAACGTAAAAGGGGGTTCCAACAGTTCCCACTTTGGTAAAACGAGAGCCCCTCCAAATGCAAGCAACAACTCTCCAACTCTCTTCCCCGCCTCCTGTGGCTTTCCCATGTCCCCCAGGGACGCGCAGGAGGGTGCGTTCCCAGAGTCGCAGACCAGGCAGCAGCCCAGGGTCCTGGAGCCCAAGTCCACCCTCGGGAGTCGGGTTTTCAAAAAAAGGCACCCTACAAAACACGGAGCTATCCTGGAACCCAAAGAGGGTCCGCAAAATGGTGGTTCTTCTACAGTTCATTCTTGGTCATCATTTTGCCCGTCCCGGCGCGTTATCAGAGTCAGAAAATGAGGGGAGGTTGGAACCCCTCAGGTTGGTTTGAGGAACAAAAGGACACCCGAAATCTGTTTTGAGAAAGCATAGAATGTCTTCTTTTGTGCTTGCAATACACCAAAGAGCATTCAACTCCGGTTCTTGAGCTGATGAGGCCCGTGGCAATGCATGCAGTGGATGACAGGCGGCTCGTAAAGGACTTTGCAAACAACCCCCCCTTGCCTTTGTCGCTCCACTTGCATCCATTTGCATGTACGGGCGGCGGCGTGCAGGATTCTGATCCCCCCCATCTCCCCGGTGCGACGTGGCGTGCCTGAGCTCCGCAAGGTGCTTGCATCTTGTGCACACGCTGTAGGAGAAGGCTGCAGTGAGATGGATGTTCTCCTGCGTGGTCGCGCAAAGAAGTGAAAAGAAAGAATAGCAATGGGAAGGGAAAAGCAATTGACAGAAAAGGGGGAAGAACGAGGAAAGAAGGGGTGGGAATGTACTGGAAGGAAAGAGACTAGGAAAGAACAGTGAAGGGACTTAACGAAGCAAAAAAAAGGAAAGAGGCAAGGAAAAGCAAAGGGCTCCATTTATCGATGACCGCCAAGCAGCCGCCATCGTACGACGGAAAAGTCAGCTGGTTTAGATATGAAGAACTCGTAGATGATTGGGTGACCTTCACCACCATCCAAGCATCCAAGAGAGGACCACTCCTCAAGAGCAGACTCACCTTTTTGCAAGATCCTGAAGAAGGAGTCAACTATTTCAAGAACACGCTGAAGAAGTTCTTCCTGAAGGGCTCGACGAACGTGTACTTATACAGACTTCTCAGTTTCTTCAATCACAGAAGGCAGAACACCGAGTTCCTCATATTCACATCAAAATTGAAATTCTCTTGATGAGATTGTTGGCAGCCTGGATGGACTTGATGCCTGTTGACACGGCACAATCACAAGAGTTCATAGCATCAGTACACCAGGACGCATTTCCCCTCAGCGACAATCTCATTGCACAATTTGTCATCACCCAGAGTGAACTGTCAGACCAGCAGAGAGAAAGACTGATCAGTGAAATGTCTTTGAGAAACATCTCGCTCGAGAGCTGCACCTACGAGATGCTGACACTGTGTCATGATCTCTTCACTACGACCAGAACATCCATCCAAGATCCATCCGTCCGACCTCATGGAGGAAAGCGGAGTAATACCTTCTACATCCTAGAATAAGGGGAGTATGAAGGTGAAGAAAGTTTCTGGTTGGAAGATGAAGAAGGACTGGAAGGATTCATGGCAACCAACGATGAAGAGACTTTTTGGGTTTTGGAGGAGAATAATGCGTTCATTGCAAGGAAAATGTCTGGGCGAAATTTCAGATTCAAGAAGAGACAAGGAAAATGAAAATCAGGAAGCAAAAAGGGCAGTCACCCACGAGGTGGCTTCAAACCCTTTCGCTTAAGTGGCTCCGGCGGGGAGGCCAATATGAAAATCAGGACCCCTACGACCAGGCAAATTCGGGAAAAGGCAATGGAAAGAAAGGGAAGAAAGGGAAGAAAGGTAAGAAAGGAAAATCGAGATTCCAGTATCCCTATGGTGGAAACTTAAAGGTTATCCATCCTATGACAGTGGCAAAGGAAAAGGCGGACAACAAACGAAAAGCCACATTGCACCAACCACACAGGCTACATATGCCGGTTGGTGGACAGACCAAGATTGGGATCCATCATGGAATTGGAGTGAATCAGGCTGGTACTCATTTCATGAGACCTCCAGCACAGGACGCGCACTACTGGGATGCAGCAGCATGGGAAAGAAGCCATCCGCGAGAGGCTGATCCAAGACGATACAGTTTCAGAACACAATTTGTCCGTCACAACAAAGCAGAGCCTTTTGGCGACAAAGCTGACGACGCCCGTCATCAGCCCTCAGCACAATCTGACCTATGTGATCCTGGACAACGGATGTACCAGATCCATGGGCAGCTGGCACGCAATCCAGCGAAAAAAGAACATTCCGGCCGAGACCAAGTTCACATTTGCCAATGGAGAGACAGCTAAGGTTAATTGGACCTTGCATCTCAAATATCACACGACCCCTCCAACCAGTACCAACATCGACATCCTTGAACATGTACCGATCCTCCTCAGCATCAGCCAGATGCGGAACCTCTACATGACCATTGAGCACACACCTGAATGTGACAAGATCACATGCAAGGCTTTTGGAATGAATCGTCAAGCAGTTCCAGTATCCGGTACAGGACATGCACTGGCCGATCTTGCTGGAGTGGCAAGAGTGAAATCACATGGAGAGATTGCTGCAAACAGGCCTCACAAATTATGTTTACGATGATGACAACAGCATCAAGTTTCCCTCCGGGGACTACTCCAAGAGTGAACTGTTTGCGCATCCAAATCGCCCGAGACAAAAGAGGACACAGCAAATCCAAAAATCATTGGGTCTCTCAAGCGCATCCAAGGGCGGCGATCCAGACATCTTGAAGAGAATTGGAGACTTACACCCCAGGCGAACAAACCAATGATCAACCTGTGATAGGTAAGACCATTTTCACCTTCGCAGACAATCCGCTAAAAGATGAATAATTAGGTTCAGGATCTGCGGCAGACAGGATCATCGACAAGAAAGGCCGGTCGACCATTGAGCCAGATCCTACTGCACCATCCGCAGACGAACCAACATCGTGCGCCGCTTGCCCTAGGCAGACTATACCAGCGATTGTCAAAGCCCGAAGAGTTGAAGAAGCTCCACCTTCTGCATCATCACATGACTACCGACCAACTTCGGTTCAGAACCCGCGCGCTTCACTTGCCGAAATCTACCTACGACTTAACTGACAAAATCCGAGGTGAGTGCGAAGTTTGTCAAGCAGCAAAGCAAGCACCACCAAGAAGCAAGACGAGTGGACTTCGAGCGGACACATTTGGAGACATATTGCCAGCTTCCTCTCGGAACTGGAGAACATATCATTGTTTTTGTCATCCTGGATGGAGCAACGACATTTCTCACTGTGGACTGCGGAGGCAGTGACAACCACGCCAACTGTCCTCAGGGCTTTTTTTGTCCAGTACCACGCGCAGCCCAAATCAGTTGTTGGAGATCAAGCCTTCATGACGGAAACATGGGAACATTTCTATCAATCCCTCAACATCACACCAATATCGTTGGGACCGAGCACACCATGGCCGAATCAGCGGTTTGACTCTTGAAGGCGCAGTTGAAGATCATGCTCAACTCCATCAAGGCAGGCACAGCACCTGCAACACTGAAGAAGGTGACATACCGACAACTTGTCAAGGCAGCTGCAACTGTCAGAAATCAGACCGTCACCTACGGGGGTGCAACACCTTTGCAACTCGCATTCGGACGACGACCAGCAGATCTCATCCAGCTTGATGTCGCAACTCCAACTCAATCAGTCCGAAGACATCCGCAGAGACCTTGCTCAGAATTTCTGAATGAGTTAAAACCTCTACAGGTGAATGACAAGGTATTTTACTGGCAGGAAGACAGATCCAAGATTCGTTCCGACGGAAGCAAAGGAGGAATATGGTTAAAAGGAAAAGTCATTTCTTTGGGAAAAACAATGGTTGGACTTGACCTTGGAACTTGACTCGTCAAAGTGAACTGGCGGAAACCCGGAATTGATCTTTTGTGGCCAGATGAGCAAGAATCCTTGCAGAAAGGGCAAGGCGGATCCTCATCCGATTCCAAGAAGAAGGCGTCATTTACACCAACTCCTAAGCCATCAACCTCCAAACCAGTACGCATTGCTGGAAAGACGCACCATGACCTGCAGAGAACATGTTCGTGGAAGACATGACATCCATTCCTGAACGGGCACACTGGAAGTGTGTACGTAAAGGAAGTGCCAGATTCAGTCAACGCTGTGCACTCACAAGCCTAAAGGTTGGGACACCAGTCGACATCCGCAGTGGATTTGATGTAACGACATCCAAGGGACGACACATGGTCATTGAGCATATCAAGGAGCAAGCACCCGATCTCATCCTCATGGCACCAGTCTGTGGACCATGGTCAAATATGCAGAACATCCAACAAGACCAACAGAAGGTCTGAGAGAAGCGAAAGCGCTACATCCTGGTGGTTGAATTCGTGGCATCCATTGCGCGATATCAGTGGAAGCGCGCAAGATATTTGATCATTGAAAATCCTCACTCATCCAAGATCTGGTATGTGCATTGCATGCCGCAACTCCTTTCAGATCCATCCGCGACCTGGGGAGATTTGTAATGAGACCGATTCTCCGGAAGTGTAAGAATTTTACCAGTTCGGTGAAACACCAGGGAAATGCTGGCAATCATCCTGCGTCACCTGAAGGTGAAACCGCTTGATAACGAAGTGCACCTTCTCGAGGACATCTTCAAGCCGTTCACCAATCAACACATTGGCCTCCTCAGGAAAGAAATGGAAGCCATTGACAAGGAGTTCAACTCTCCGAGTTGATGGAACAGCAGTCTACAATGACAAGGGGGTGGAACTGTATGTGCGATGCTGCAGTGGTCATTCACGACCCGTTGAAATTGAATCCATTGGGCGACCACTATTCACTGAGCAGCAGGATTACCAACAACAAAGAACCGGACTACGATCCCCCCATCGTCAACACTCCACAAGCATACCCATCCTTCAAGATCCAACAAGCAGCATGCGACCACGGCACAACGCAGCCGAAGTATGGGATGAGACGACCGGCACCTGAACCCGTGGAACAGGAGAGAAAGATCAAGCCATTCGACAAGAAGCCAATCACCTTTATGTTCCATGCGACCTACAACGACCAGATATACAACATCCTGGAACAAGGAATCAAGCCGGGGAAAAGCTCGACCCCACGAGGTAGAATCCAGGTCCATCTTGCAAGCGTTGACGACGTGATCCTCGACGATGAGCCATCCAAGGCAGCTTTGACGCATGTGCCTGGAGCACGAGATGCCCTATTGATCCTTGGCTTCCTCAAGAACTACCACCAAGGCATCAGGCTGACCGAGGAACGCACTGCATTGTCCGAAGGTCCTACTGGCCACAAAACATCATTGCGGCATACGATTCCGAAGGACAGGAAAGGCAGACCAATTACTGGATCATGAAGAAGAACGTGGACAAAGAAGATCTGGAACAGTATATGACTAAGATCCTGCTCACGCCAGCCAAAGGCCTGAGCCCATGTCGGGAGCTCCATACTGGCAAGGAAAGCAAGTCCGTCGGCAAATTGCTCAGCGGAGAGGCCACAATCAACAGAAGCAGGGGTGCGATCAAGGTCAGGTACCTGCAGCGGTACCCGGCCTGCATCACTGGTTGCATTGGCTGCATCCGCCTCGTCAGAGAGCTGGGAGTTGCAAAGCGGGTGGTCGGAGTGGCCAACCAACTGCAGTGCCCGGACAAGCAAAGCAAGAGTTCGCGCAGGATTTAGTCAAACATGTCAATGCTAACAAATCAGACAAGGACCAATCTCAGAAGAACACATCCACAGAGACCCAGAAAAGATGGCATTCCACTGACAGGATGATGAATTGAGAACGGAACCCGCCAAGGAAAGAGTCGTCAAGCACAGGGTCACGATGGAGATGGAGTACCTCAATCCTGACAATCTCGCCGAGTTCAACGAGGAACTCCAGCAGGTCTACCTCGACCGAGACACGAGCAAAACTGAAGCGGAAGAAGAACTCAAGATCACCAAGGCAAGCTTCAAGGACTTTATGCAAAGGTATGAACAGGATCCTCAGCCTGTCTGCGCACACATCCGGATATCCTATTTGACCGCCTGAAATCTCTCAGGACACAAGATGATCCCGATGTGATCAAGGCATATACGGACATCCTCGGATCCTTGATGCAAGCCACCGAAGACCCAGTGATGGACGAGTTCCAGGCACGAGACTGCTACTCCTCCATGACCATCAACATACTCACAATGAACCATAGGAACCTTACGAGGAATCCGAGGGAGTTGAAAGGCATGCCCATGCGAGACAGACCGATCACACGAATGTTGCTGCACAACAGTGCTCACATCATATGCCTCAACGAAGCGGACGCCCAAGACGAAAAATGCAAGGAACTCATCCGTTTGTTTATCCTCACAGGGCACAAGGGCATCGAAATCAAACCCTTGTCTGCAAGACCCATCGCATGTTTTGTCCGTGGCAATGAACGTGCCAGAGTCGAACTCTTGGCAAGATACATCTCGACAAGATCCCAAAACTGGGGGGCTAGATTCGGAATGTTCAAATATTTCTTCGGCACCGAGATCGGTTGTATAGATCCCGAGTATAACACACCAACCTTCGACTGCCTGGCAATCACATGACAAAGGAGAACCTCAAGGACTATGTCGGCCAGAGATTGCCACCGCGCACCGCCATCCAGACATATGAGGAAATTGCGGTGATCCAGATCGACCAAAGTAACGAATTCCGAGGAGCATTGCCGAAGTCAACCGAGGCTCCAAATGCGGAATACGATAGTCGACACATTCTTCGAGCCGGACTTCCATATGCTACAGTTGGGGTTTTCCATGTCCATCCGAATATCACTCATGGAGCAGCAAGAGGGGATTTTCAGGATGGAATCATGCCACTTGTTACGACTTAATTACCAATGCGACACAATCACTGGCGATGCCAACAAATCCCTCAAGACTTACAGTAGATTGCAATGGGTCTATAGTCCGGAAAATGGATTGATCAACCACATCATGCCACACATGGAACACGACAAGGATGCCTATTGAAGAAAGAATGGATTATGCCATGGCTACCTCCTGCATTATGAAGGCAATTGTCCATCACCATCTCTATATGAAGACTGGTTCTGGATGTGATCGAACATTTCCGGATTGCATGATGACATTTGTATTTGGATGGGGAAAGACAGACATCCAAAATCGTTTCCGAAGATCCGAGATTGAGTCCATGACCGGTGAGGAAAAGAAGACCCCGTAAATCATTTCCGATTAATTACCAGGTATCGTCAGCCGAGCGTTGCAAGCACACCAACGAGATGTGCCCGTTCCCGAAGCCGATCTGAAAGCAAGGAACGAGACACTCAGAGAGACAAACTTATCTCTAACTCCAAACAAATAATAAAGAACTACTAACATTCTTATATGATAATAGTAAAAAGATTCATGATAAAGAAAAGGCATTGCTTATCATATGTAGAGAATATAGTATAAGAGACATAGAATTCTTTAATATTTGCCGGCTAGAATCAAATTTTATAGAAAATATAAGCATTAAAAGACCCAAGATGGCAACTATGACTAAAGGAGCAATCAGATCTGTTGGATCAAATAGCTGAGTGTATGGAACAAAAAACCAAGGGGTACAATCAGAAAAAGAAGGAGAACACTTGGGGCGATATAACAAGGCTTACGGCTACGATCAACCTGGATGGAAAGGCTATAGTTCTCAACTTGGTATGACTACGACTATTACAGCCAATCTGAAACCAGCAGCCAGCCGTGGAAGCGATGACATGCTTTCAGAAACTCGAGAGAGAGAACAACCGAGAACAGCACCAGGAATGCCGACCAATTGATCCTCACCATCAACAAGACTATTCTGTGAGACATCAATAGTTTCAGACCGATCCTGCGTGTACATAGCATTGTGCATCATCTTTTGACACAATTAGGAGTACAGAGTTGTCTTTTCCGCAAACAAAGACATTCATCCGCGCCAAAAAGGGATGAATGAATTCAGTATTTTAATTCTAACAAGATATATATCTTATCTGTCACTGACACATCTATGGCTACGGCACACACTTGAATGGCTACGGTCAAAGGCCAAGAAGCCAATAGTAATTCAGTGCTGGTGATCAAAAGAAATTTGTGTCTGTTTTGTGTTTGTTTTTCGGACCCATTGATCTCCATGCAACACCATTTTGGCTCAAGGCCTTTCATGTCACACATCAGATGTACATAGCTCACTGAGCCATTGCATCCGTGATGCAAAGGTGCTATGGCGGACCGCTTTCATGGTAAACCACAGCGCACAGTCAACCAGGGCTAATCCAGTATCAATCCATCAGCATTGACACTTGGACTCTCCGGAATAGATCCAGGACCTACCAAATAAAGATCCTCTACTACCACAAGGTATCGGTTCCTTTCGGGGATAAGATGCCCCAGGCAGTGGGCCTCACCCACCCCCCCCCCCGCCCGAAGTCTGCTATGCAAGGTTTGGGGGGGGGCCCCCCCACGTACCAGTAATCTGATGACTCCACAGGGGTCCCACGCTCGAATCCCCCTGCCGCCTCTTTGCTGGTTCGGGTGTTCTGCCTCCTTTTGCCGAAAGTCTGGAAAAACTCTGTGTGTTTAACATCATTTTTGCGAAAACGCGTGAAAAACCGTGTCTTTTTCGGAAAAATACCGGGGGGCGAAGGGAAAATGCAAGGAAGTGCAAGGAAGTGAGGGGAGGAAATAAAGGGAAATGCAAGGACATGCAGGGACGGGAAGTTGACATGACAAGAAAGCAAGGGGACATGAAAGGGAAACAAAGGGAAACTGAAAGGGACATGAAGGAAGGGGAGAGAAATGAAAACATGGGCAACGAAGGGAAATGACTGGCAATGAAAGAATGGGACATACATGGTAAATGAAGCGGACATACCGAGAAAATGACACGGACATGAAGGGGGAATTGACAGGAATGGAAGGGGACATGATGAGGACATCCTCGAAAAAATGCTGACATATGAAAAGGACATGAAGGGGCAGTGCACGGAAAATCGAGGCAACTCAGGGGGGACATGACGCTGCACTGCAAACAGAGAGGGAGAGAGAGAGAGAGAGAGAGAGAGAGAGAAAGAGAGAGAGACAGAGACAAAGAAAGATAGAGCGAGAGAGAGAGGGAGAGACAGAGACAGAGAAAGAGGGAGAGACAGAGACAGAGAAAGAGTCAGAGAAAGAGACCGCGAGACAGAGCAGGAGACAGAAAATAACGGAGAGAGAAACAGAGAGTGGCAGAAAGAGAGAGAGAGAGAGACAAAGAGAGAAAAAGAGAGAAAAAGAGAGGTAAGAGAGAGGAATGAGAGAGAGGCAGCGACACACAGGGGATGGGGCAGAGACACGAGGTGGGGAGAATGAGGCATAGCGGGGAGGTAGAGAAAGATAGAGACGTAGAGAGGATGGAGAGTGAGAAAGAGACAGAGAAGCAGAAAAAGAGAGAGAGAGAGAGAGAGGGAGAGACAAAGAGAGAGATAGAGAGACAGAGGGAGAGGCCTAGAGAGGAAGGAGAGAGTGCGACAGAAAAAGAGAAAGAGAGACAGAGAGAGAGAGAGAGAGAGAGAGACAGCGAGAGAGAGACAGAGAAGGAGAGAGCGAGAGAGAGAGAGAGAGGGAGTGAGAAGGAGAGGATTGGGAGGATGGGGAGGATGGGGAGGAGAGAGACTCTAAAGTAACAGGAAAAGGAATAGGAACGGGAAGGAAGGATAGGGGCAAAAAGACATTAGCAAATACGTATTGCCAAAATGGAAAGGACAAGGGAAGTGGGAAGGAAAAGTGGAAGGAAGGGGAAGGAAAAGTGGAAGTGAGGGCCAGTAAGGGATGGCCTGAAATGACAATCAAACAAACACATGTTGATTGCAATTTACCGGGGCAAGCGCCCCGAAGCAGAACTTAAGCATCTTGCGAACATGATGTGCTGTTAGCACGAGCGAACCTGGAACCAGGCTAGGCACAGCCCAAAAACAAGCGAGCCCCTCATGGAAGTGGTGTCTGAGTTTAACTGCCACTAGCTCACTGGCAGCGGCTCGTTCAAGTCCAAGAAGCAGTTGGACAAAGGGTTCGCAAAAAATGGGCATGACCTGGGCATTGAGAAAGAAAGCTCGTATGGTAGACCGCAACTGAAGCTGAAATGCAAGTAGCCGGACAATGTCTCTTGGCCATGACCTGACAAAAGCTGCAGGGAGTTGAAACCCGCATGAGTTGAGCTTCGTCATGGTGGACGCAGGGTCAGCACGACCCTCGACCATCTATCCAACCACATTGCTGTGTGCCCATGCTAGTAGGCCTTTAAGTTGCGCTTTGGGCGTCATGTTAAGGGGTCAACGTTTTGGGATTCACAATTCGTTTTGCTCGGAAGGCAAGTGTAATTACCAAGCAGCCATCGGCAATCTCCACGCCAATGGACTTACAATAATTATGTCCCGTGGTGTCTCACTATATGTGATGCTGCCAGCTTGCACACCTGACCACAAGAGAAAAGCAAGATTAACCTGAAAAAGGACATCTGTCACGCGGGTGATTCTGTGACTGTCAGTCCATTTTCGATTTTCAACTTACCCTCCCACTCCTTAGAGGTGACATCCAAGCCTGCTGCCAGCTCAGCGGCAAGGACCCCATCTAAGGCACTGAGTACGGCGCGCATGTAGTCCTTGCCTCCAATCGCTCCATGCGAAAATGGTTCTAGTGTGGCCCCTCCAATTGTCGCTTGTTGTCGCTCGTTTTCCAGCGGTTTCTGCTCATTTCCCGGCAAAAAGAAAACATATTTTCATGTTTTCCACTCAAGATCTGAAACTAAATGGCATGCAAGTGTTCTGCAACAAACTCCTGTCTAGCGCGCCTCCACTTGACATGAACTTCAAGTCTGGCTCGTTGGTAATGACAAGTGTGTCAAGCGCGGGGTGGTAGTGGCCATTCCTGGTCGGTCCGACTCAAAAGCATGTTGAGGGAATGGGGAGGGTGGGAAGTACGCAGCCGATGTACCAATACGGCACCCCGTTCTCATAAAGCGTCCATTCCTTAAGAAATATCCCATAACAAATGACAATGCAATTGATTGACTGGCTCCAAAAGCGCTTGGGTCTGAATCACAATCATGACCGACTTCAAGAAAGCTGCCGGCCCAGATTGCAATCAATGCAGCTTGTGTCAGAGCCATGCAGGTTACACACGGTTGGTTTAGGGATAGGGTTAGGGTTTAGGGCATTCCTCACCAGACCTGCATTACTGGCCCAAGTCTCGAAAGGAACTTTTTCGTTGTCAAATCCTCTGCGTAGGACTTCTGCACCTCTGCAAAGCAGTCCAAGTCTGTCTTCCAGCAGTTGGAGCCAGTCTCAAACGGGTAGTCCGAGATGCCTGACGCATGGCAGGCATCTCACACACACATTGGAAACACACGCCAGCCAGAATGAATCAACGCGTGAAAGTTCAAGGCCGTACACTTCACCAGGACAATTCATTCACCAGTCTTCCATGATCAAACCGAAAGCGATAAACGCCCTGCAAAAACTCCGACGCAAAACCAACACTGGGAGATACCCTGAGCTTCTTGACGAGCGGTATCCCTTTTTGTCCCTGTCTGATCATGCCTACGTTGTGAATCCACATTCTAAAGCACTTCCAAACCAAAAAAAGCAAAGCAAGTGTTGTGTGGAATGCAAACGCATTCTGGAAGTTGAGTCTCGTTTTGGAGGACCTGGCACCCAGTTCCTGACTCCAAAAACCAGGGTCCCCGAATAATTAGTAAACATATTTGCCCCGAAGGGAATTTGTTTATGAGCGCTTTATTTTTGGAGGGAAGGGACTACACTTCGTTGCCAACGCATAGTGGCATAGTGAAAGTTCGGCTGCACCTGGGGAGCCAAAGGCGTCAACCATGCAGCACATGGGTAAGTCCCACGTGTGAAGTAAAGGTTGTAAGTGCGCAATGCCACATCTACCAGTAGAACCTCGGCCAGTACTAAAGCGTTTCCCGAAATTTCGTTCAAATTGCATGCTGCGTGACCCATCCAGAATGTCTCCCCTCTTAAGCATGGCTCCCAAAGCCTTGCGACGTGTTTCCCAGCCTGCAATCACCTTCAGGCCCCAGCTGTTGGAACGGTCCAGGAACTGAGTGCCGTCGAAACGCGGGTCGTTGCCGTAGAGCCGAACCTCAGCTGCTCTGCACTTGACGCATCCGAAGGTGACCGCGCACCTCGGAACACTAAAAAATGCCTGGAGTGTAAACATATCAACATGTCGGATGTGTTTTATACATTTGAGTGTGTGTGCAAATCGGGTTGGATTTGTCGAGCAGCCACTTAGCACTTAGAAAGGAAAAAAATGCGCAGCCACTTAGCCACTTAGCCACTTAGACTGTTAACCATTCCCTCTACTTTGGGCAGGAGTTGCGCCATCTACACTGGTGCTGTAATCAAGCTTTTTAGATATTGATTTTGTAGTAGGGGCCCTTGTTCCTGCGTGCGATTGAATTTGGGTACTACGGGGAGGCCTTTAGCACCACCTCCAAACCATTACAGCTCTGTACAAAATCAATAAACCGGTCATTGCTTTCTGCTGTTTACCTTCCTTACTCGGAAATTGCCGTTCGGAACGCTTTTTGGGTCCGGAAAGGGGAGACCACATTTGCCGAAGAAAACAGAAGAGGCCAAACCGTAATTCGGGTCCCTACAGTAAAATGATGTGTTTTGTGGAGATTCTTTTTGAGGGGGGGCGGCCAGGTGCGACTGTCGCAGTTGCACCTGGTCGAGCGGTCAATTTTGCCACGCAGCCACCCAGCCAGTAGGAAGCCACTCAGCCACTTAGAGCCAGCGACTTAGCCACTCAGCCACCGGAAGCCACTTAGCCACTCAGCCACTTTGCCACTCGGCCACCTGGCCACTCAGCCACCGGGCAGCCACTTAGCCACTTAGCCACCTAGCCACTTAGCCACTCAGCCACACCACTCAGCCACTTTGCCTCTCAGCCACCTAGCCACTTAGCCGGGAAGCTTAGCCACCTGGCCACTTAGCCACCACTCAGCCACTGTGACACTCAGCCACCTCAGCCACTTTGCCACTCAGCCACCTAGCCACTTTGCCACTCAGCCACCTCAGCCACTTAGCCTAAGTGGCACCTAGCCACTCAGCCACCACTCAGCCACCTAGCCACTTTGCCACTCAGCCACGTACACCGGGAAGCCACTTAGCCACTTTGCCACTCAGCCACCGGGAAGCCACTCAGCCACTTAGCCACTCTTAAGAGTGGCTAAGTGGCTAAGTGGCTTCCTTTCAGATCTACCGTGCGCGCGTGCTCAATCATACATTTGATGCTGCACCTCTCCCACCAGCACACAAAAATGTTCATGGCAGCATTTATCAAATGGGCCCTGATCTATTTGGGGGCCCTCAAATGCGTCGCAAACACATTCCTGACCTGTTGACGTTCATAGGGCTGCTCATGCTCTTGTCAAAAGCCGCCGCGGTAAACCACTGATGATTTAAGACTCTTGTTCATACACAACGAGATAAAGCTCCCAGTCCCCACCCGCCCGGGTAACTTGCATTCTCCCTTGACAAGCACCTGAAATTTGTCAATTTGCTTTGTCCTCAATGGTGTTGAAAATGACCTCGATCACACCAACAATGACCAGAACCGTGGCAGCTTACAGTTTCCCCGCAAACAAGAAGGACAGGGAACTCAGGACAAAACCCAGCTGGGCCTGAGCCAACGTAGACGGGTCTGGATTGAAAGCAAATTAGACTTGCCCACCTCCCCGTTGTCCCCCCCCTCGGCCCCACAAAAAAAAGAAGGGCCTTGCATTTTTGTGCTGGGGGGGCCGGGGGGGGGGGGGAAAATGTAAGTAACATTTCCAGACTCCCCTTCTTTCGATGATTTAAGGGGCGGGGTTTCATCGCTTGGTTCCATTCCCGTTCATTCGCTCTCATACATGGCAACTGTTCCAGCCAACCAATCACAATCTGATGGAAATAAAGCGCTAGTAACAAGCGAAGGAGCCAAGCCAAACATCAAGGACGAACTTGGCAAGCCTTCGGCTGGGGCATTAACCATGCAAGGTGTTTAGCGGTCGGGCCTCGCTTGGCAAGCTTATCAAGTAATCACTCCTCACAACCCATCCATTCACATCTCTCTGTCTTCATGCAAAATCAACCGCCACCGAACCCGATCCCCAGCAACTTTCCCGTCAGCTGGGAGTCTCAAGGCTGCTCTCTTTGAGGCCGAGTCGCCATGGTGGCGCCCATCTCGGCCATGATGGCGAGATCATCGCGTCCGTCGCCCCACTGACCCTGCATTGCCTCTGTCATCATGTCGTCGTTTGGAAATCTGCCCACTTTCCGCGTGGGCAAGGGACCATAGCCTGAAGATGGAGCCATTTGGAGCCCGCACTCTGTGAAGTTAACCCCTAAATGGCCTCAACTGTCCTGTGCAAAGCGCAAGAGCATGCAAGGAAGCTAGGATGCGCGTGCAATCAGGCTCAGTTGGCTTCACACACAAACCGCTGAAATCTGCAAAGTCCGGAAGCATCTTCACGCATAAACGCATATATGGTTTAGTGTCAAAATAGGGGGACCCCCGTCCCTTTAGACTAACCTCGAAAAAGGTACACTCAAAAAACATACACCCACCCTCGACAGGTCAAGCAGCTAAAGCCCCACGCGCCGGTCTCGGCAATGGGCCGCGTTGCAGCGTCAGGCTGCCGCGGCGGCTTTCGCACACAACCAGCGGCGCCGGCCTTGCAAACGGGGACCATCGTCGCATCGTCCAGGAGCAGCGCGGCGAAGGCGACACTGAGACCATGGATCAGCCAAGTCAGCCGCATGACACGGATCTTCGGAGCTTACGCCCAGTCGCATGAGGTCATGGGTCAAATCGAATCGCTGGCTCCTGCCCGAAGCCTAGCTTTGATGTGCAAATGAATGTGCCTCGCCACTCGTGTTGCCGTTGATATCTCTGCGCATGGTGCTGGAAACAAAAACCATGCGACCTGGGCCCTGGGGTCTGCGATTAGACGAAAAGCCATCTGACTCACTGACGGCAGACCGCACTCAAGTGTCATGAAAGAAGCAACAAGGCACGATGCTGTTAGCGTCTCGGACCGCCCAGCACATTCATGGGGGCATCCGAATTGCAGGCTCTCGGCACAAGCCCGGGACTATTATGGCAAATGAGTTGATCATGGACGAAACGGCTTGCGAGGTTCGGAGCGTAAAAACACAATTGCAAGTCCCTATCCTCTTGCAGCATGTCATCTAAAAACTCCCGACATATCTACAAAATTGGCATCAAAGCAGCTCGGCAGGCACCTGCAGAAGATGCCCACCGCCCATATTGACATGTCTTCCAACGCCATCCCCGAGCCATGCTACCAAACAAGCTGTCCTCTGTTGCACTTCTGATCCATGAGCATCATGGCCAGAACAACAACATTGCAGCACGCCATGCTTTACTCCTGACAGGCTCTTGATGCACGTGCATGCTGGGACAAAGCTGGTCTTGACCATACTGGAAACACTTCTGGGGCTGTCTCAATCGATCCCAACATGGGTGGTTTCCTTTTGGACCGGCATCAAAACCAGCCAAAAGAGCTCCCCCCTCCAAAAAGAAAGAGACACTTTCAACACCCCTTCTCACAAAAACACGCCCGCTCCCAACGTCCCCCCCTCTCGGCGGGGCTGGGAACCCCACTGTGCTCCACAACCTTGTGGTTGGCCCCGCTCAGAGCTAGTGCTATTGGACAACAGGCCCTCGCATTCTTTCCAGGCCCTGCGTTGAACAGAGCAACAGTGCGTGACTGTTGTAAAAAGTCCAAGGGCAGCTCTTCAAACATGAATATATCTGACCCAAACCTAGCCATGTTGTGCAAGAACAATGTCCCAATTTCCGATCCCAACAACTTGTTCATCAAGCAACTCTGTCAAGTTGACAGGAGCCCTGCCAAATGCTCCTTGACTGGAACAAGTTGTCACTTCTTTGTTGGCGGGAAAGGCTCATTCTCGCACGAGTTGCAGCGGTTTACTAATCTGTTCTTTGCCGAGATAAATAGAAAGGACCTTTCGGACAACTGCCATACACAACATGCGAGAGCGCGTGCATTTATATATATATATGTATATATGCAACACCTCCCCTCCATGGGCCCTGATGTTACTGCCTTTTTGGGGATGGTAAATCTAGAATCTAGAGATTTAAATGCTCGAAGTTTCCAATTGTGGGTCCCCAAAGCCTCATAAATTGGAGCCCGGAGTCCTCCGAAATGTCCAAATACCGGTGGAGCCGGCGAAGCCGGTGGGCGGAAGTTTCAAAAATATAAAAACTATAGTTCTCTTTCTCTGTTTGTCTTGATTATTGTTCTCTTCTTCTTCTTCTTCCTTTTCATTGTTTCTTGTTTTTTCTTCGTCATTCTGTCTTTCTGTCTTTCTGTCTTTCTTTCCTTCCTTCCTTCCTTCCTTCTTTCTTTCTTTCTTTCTTTCCTTTCCTTTCCTTTCCTTTCCTTTCCTTTCCTTTCCTTTTCCTTTCCTTTCCTCGCCTGCGTCGGTCTGGGACGCTGGCTCGCACTCTGCCAGCAGAGGCGGAAACTCGACCGGCTGGCCGCCGTGGCGATCGTGCATGTTGCACGTGTCGGTCAGCCGTCGATACCACTTCCGACGCGCCTGCCGAACCAGCTGGCAGTTGTTCCTCATGAGCAGCGCCTTTTCCGCCACGCCGATGGCGCATGGGTGCCACTGCATGCGTGTCCGAGACGCAAGCCTCCTGCTGGGAGAGCTGCCGCGTCTCCCTGCGGCCCTCGCTATCCAACTGAAAGCGCATGCTGACCGATGAGGGAAACACTGGCACAAAGTCCTCGTCGGGGGCCAGTGCGTGCTGCGCGGGCGCGCAGCTCGCGGCCGAGCGCCGCTCTGGCTGGCGTACTACTTTCGTACTTAAAAGTTGCGATTTCGAGCCCCGGCTGCGAAAGTGGACTTCGCGTACTACTTTCGTACTTAAAAGTCCAGCGGCGAAAGTGGACTTCGCGTACTACTTTCGTACTTAAAAGTTGCGATTTTCAAGCCTCAGCTTCCAACTTCGCGTGCTACTTTTGTACTTAAAAGTTGCGATTTTCGAGCCTCAGCTGCGAAAGTGGACTTCACGTACTACTTTCGTACTTAATTAAAAGTTGCCCCAGCTGCGGATGTGGACTTCACGTACTACTTTCGTACTTAAAAGCTGCGATTTTCGAGCCCCAGCTGCGAAAGAAAGTGGACCTCGCGTGCTACTTTCGTACTTAAAAGTTGCGATTTTCGAGCCCCAGCTGCGAAAGTGGACTTCACGTACTACTTTCGTACTTAAAAGTTCCGATTTTCGAGCCCCAGCTGCGAAAGTGGACTTCACGTACTACTTTCGTACTTAAAAGTTTCGATTTTCATGCGATTTTCGAGCCCCAGCTGCGAAAGTGGACTTCGCGTGCTTCTTTCGCACTTAAAAGTTGCGATTTTCGAGCCCCGGCTGCGGATGTGGACTTCACGTACTACTTTCGTACTTAAAAGTTGCGATTTTCGAGCCCCAGCTGCGAAAGTGCAATAATTGTACTGAAAAGTTGCGGTTTTCGAGCCCCAGCTGCGAAAGTGCACTTCGCGTACTACTTTCGTACTTAAAAGTTGCGATTTTCGAGCTCCAGCTGCGAAAGTGGACTTCGCGTGCTACTTTCGTACTTAAAAGTTGCGATTTTCTGGAAAGTGCACTGCGCGTACTACTTTCATACTTAAAAGTTGCGATTTTCGAGCCCCAGCTGCGACAGTGCACTTCACGTACTGCTCTCGTACTTAAAAGTTGCGATTTTTGCCCAGCTGCGAAAGTAGACTTCACGTACTACTTTCATCTATATATCTATCTATCTATTTATCTATGTATCTGTCTATCTATCTACTTTCTATCCATTTTCTATCTATCTATCTATCTATCTTTCTATCTATATTTCTTTCCATCTGTCTATCTATCTATCTATCCACCTATCTACTTCTTTATCTATCTATCTATCTATCCATCCATCTATCTATCTTTCTCTCTCTCTCTCTCTCTCCCTCCAACTATCTACTTTCTTTCTAATCTATCTATCTATCTACTTTCTATCTAATCTAATCTATCGATCTATTTATCTAACTATCTACCTAACCATCTATCTGTCTATCTATCTCTTTTGTATCTATCTATCTCTCTCTAACTATCTACTTTCTATCTAGTCTGTCTGTCTATCTATCTATTTAATCTATCTATCTGTCTATCTATCTACTTTCTATCTACGTTCTATCTAATCTACCTATCTATCTATCTCCATATCCATCTTTCTATCTATCTATCTATCTCTCTCTTTTGATCTATCAATCGATCTGTCTATTCATTCATCTATCTACCTACCTACTCCTTTATCTATCTATCTATCCATCTATTTATCTATATATCTATCTTTCTCTCTCTCTCTAACTATTTATTTTCTTTCTAATCTATTTATCTACCTATCTACTTTCTATCCAATCTATCTATCTATTTCTGTATCTATCTTTCTTTCTATCTATCTATCTATTTATCTACCTCTATCTACTTTCTATCTAGTCTGTCTATCTATCTATCTATCTATCTGTCTATGTATCTATCAGTCTCTCTATCTATCTGTCTCTCTCTTTTTCGATCTATTTATCTATCTACCTATCTACTTCTTTATATATCTATCTATCTACCTATCCATCTATCTATCTATCTCTGTTTTTATTTATCTATCTCTCTCTAACTATCATCTACCTTTCTATCTATCTACCTATCTACTTCTTTATCTATCCATCTATCTATCTATCTATCTTTCTCTCTCTCTCTCTAACTACCTACTTTCTTTCTAATGTATTTATCTGTCTACTTTCTACCTCATCTAATCGATCGATCGATCGATCTATCTATCTATCTATCTATCTATCTCATTTTTATCTATCTATCTCTGTCTAACTATCTACTTTCTATCTAGTCTGTCCATCTATCTATCTATTTATTTATCTATCTATCTCGCATGTATCTATCTGTCTCTCCATCTATCTATCTATCTGTCTATCTATCTACCTATCTATCCATATATCTATCCACATATATCTAACTATCTCTCCATCTCTCTATCTATCTATCTATCTCTCCATCTCTCTGTCTATCTATCTATCTATCTATCTAACTATATATCTATCTATCTCTCCATCTCTCTATCTATCTATCTATCTATTTATCTATCAGTCTAATTCTATCTATCCATCTATCTATCCAATTCTATCTATATATCTATCTATCTATCTGTCTATCTATTTCTCTATCTATCTATCTATCTATCTATCTATCTATCTCTTCTCTATCTCTCTATCTACCTGTCTATCTCTCTAGCTATCTACTTTTTTTGAAAAACTATTTATAGTTACTTGTACCTAAACTTGCAAAAGTGCTGCGCCTGCCACGAAATCTGCACTCGACCTTGCGAAAGTGCTGCGCCTGCCATGAAATCTTTACTTGACCTTGCGAAAGTGCTGCGCCTGCCAAGAAATCTGCACTTGGCCTTGCGAAAGTGCTGCGCCTGCCACGAAATCTGCACCGGACCTTTCGAAAGCGCTGCGCCTGCCACACAATTCAAACCTTGCGAAAACTTAACCTTGCGAAAGTGCTGCGCCTGCCACGAAATCTGTACCTGACCTTTCGAAAGTGCTGCGCCTGCCACGCCATTCAAACCTTGGGAAAACTTGACCTTGCGAAAGTGCTGCGCCTGCCACAAAATCTGAACCTGACCTTGCGAAAGTGCTGCGCCTGCCACGCAATTCAAACCTGGCGAAACCTTCGCGTTGCCGTGCCAATAGGCCCGCGCTCCGAACGCGCTCCGAACGCGCTCCGA